AGCTGGAGCCCTCAGCAGGTGCTGGGGGAGCACAGCCACCCCTTTGTGCTCGGGATTTGGGGCTGGGGGGGCTGCTGGACCCCTTGGAAAGCCCTTCTCGTGTTTCTCAGCGAAACCCAAGCTTGGCTTCCCGGGACAGGGAGCGGTTGCTGTGCTGCCTCTTTAAGGATTGAAGGATTTTCCCTACTCCTTGGGCTCTCCCAGAACAGCTGACTGCTCCAAAGCTCCTCTCCAGAGGAGATGTGTGTGTTGGGCAGGGATTGGAGCCGGGCTCTGCCTCTCCCTGGAGCTTTGCTTTAGCCCTGCTGCTCTGCCAGGGGGCTCAGGACGTGTCAGGGGATGGTTTTAAGGCATTCCCCTAAAAAAATGAAACCTTTCCCCATTGCTGAGCGTGCTCCCATCTCCTCCTCCTCTCCTCAGGGCGAACCTGGTGGACCTGCAGAAGAAGCTGGAGGAGCTGGAGCTGGATGAGCAGCAGAAGAAGCGCCTGGAAGCTTTCCTCACCCAGAAAGCCAAAGTGGGAGAGCTCAAGGACGATGACTTTGAGAGGATCTCCGAGCTGGGGGCTGGAAACGGCGGCGTGGTCACCAAAGTGCAGCACAAACCCTCAGGGCTCGTCATGGCACGGAAGGTAACGAGGGGCTGGGCAGTGTCTGGGGCTCTCCCTGGCTCTGGGAGGGCTGGTTTTGGTTGGATTCTCCCTGTCTTGGTTGGATTCTCCCTGTTTGCACCCTCACCTGGGTCAGGAGCACGGTCCTGGCAGCCCCCAGGTGGGTTTTACATGGATCCTGTCTCCGAGTCCTCCTTTGGGAGAGGCCTCTGCCACAGATCCCTGGGGTTTGGACACCCTGGTGTGAACACATGAGGTTATTTTTTTCCCAGTCAAGCTGATTTTGATGGATAAACTGGCCAGAAGCAGCTGGAAGGAGATCCCTTGAGGGCTGGAAGTGGCAGAGGGAGGGATGGCTTTGGGATATATGTTCCTCACCCCTCACCACCAACTTAACAGGTCCCAAAGGTCATTCCCAGCAGTGACTGATTCCTCTCAGACTTGGATTTATGGGGAGCATCTTCTGCTGCAGTAGAAAATCAGGAGATGCTTCGTGTGCCTGCTGGAAGAGGCTTGGCGGGAGCAGCACAACTGCTCCAGAGCCCCTGCTCCCTCCTGCTCATGATCATGGAATCAGAGCATGGTTTGGGTTGGAAGGGACCTTAAAGCTCACCCAGTTCCACCCCCCTGCCATGGGCAGGGACACCTCCCACCAGAACAGGGGGGTTTCCCTCCCCACAGCCGCGTTAACTGGCCCCAGAAGCGGCCGCTCGTTCTCGTGCAGAACCTTCATGGGGTTGGGGTTTGGTTTTTTTTTTCTTCTTTTTCCTGTGGTTTCCTTGATCTCAGAGCACCTTCTTACAACACCTACAAGAGCTTGTGAAAATGGTCCTGTGTGTGCTGAGTCAGAGCTGCTGAGATCAAACCTGTGACTCGTCTTTCCGCTCCCGTCCGGTGCAATCCCGGTCGCGGCCTTCCCTTCCCTCGCTGACAAGGGAGCTGAGAGCTCTGCCTCTGCCTTCATCATGGAATCACAGCCTGCCTTGGGTTGGAAGGCACCTTAAAGATTGTTTCATTCCACTCCCTGCCACGGGCAGGGACATTTCCACTCTCCCAGGTTGCTCCAACCTGGCCTTGGACACTTCCAGGGACGGGGCAGCCACAGCTTCTCTGGGAAATCCATCCCAGATCCTCCCCACCCTCCCAGGGAGGAATTCCTTCCCAATATCCCACCTAACCCTGCCCTCTGCCAAGTCATTTGAAGTCATTCCCCTTTGAGCTGTCACTTTATCCTCATTATTAACCTGCAGGTGGGATAAATTCTGTTCCAAAGCAGAGCTTCCCTTGATTTTACCTCTCCCAGCACCCAGGACCTGCTCACACGCTTCCCGTGAGTTGTTCTTTTTTTTTCCCAGGTGTTCCACCCTGACTCCCTGCCCTGTTTTTTCTTTCTTGGCAGCTGATTCACCTGGAAATCAAACCTGCCATCAGGAACCAGATCATCAGGGAGCTGCAGGTGCTGCACGAGTGTAACTCCCCCTACATCGTGGGGTTCTACGGGGCCTTCTACAGCGACGGGGAGATCTCCATCTGCATGGAGCACATGGTGAGAGCAGCTCCTCCTCTTTTACCCTTCCAAATTCCATCTCCCCTGCCAGCTTGGGGCACTGGCAGCTGTGCTGGCTCCTTGCTCTGCTCCTGGTGGGAGCCACAAACTCCTGCTCGGGCCTGGAATCGAGGGGGGGAGAGAGAGAGAGGGTGACTTTTGGGGAAGAGGAAGCAGAGGTTTGGGGGTTGGCCAAACGGAAATGTTGCCAACCCACCGCCCTCCAGAGCCTGCTGAGAAGCTCAGTGAGCACATTCTGCTGTTTCTGGTGGCAAATAAACACTGTTTCTCCTCCAAATCAGCACCAGCAGCATCATCCCTGCGTTTCCACAAAGAACCAGGGGAGCTGGTAGAAAACCAGCATTAAAAATGGTTTTCAAGTGATAAAGTCAAACTTAGATCAGCAGAAATCTCTCAGTGCTGAGGATGCTCTGTGCTGCTTATCCACCACTGCCCAGCTCTTGTTTTCCTGCTGGGAATTGGCCTGTGGGTCATTCTCAATGTTCTCCCATTTTAGGATGGTGGCTCTTTGGATCAAGTGTTGAAAGAAGCCAAAAGAATTCCCGAGGAAATCTTGGGCAAAGTCAGTATAGCGGTGAGTTGTGGTGGCTCCTCAGGCCTCCAGGGAGGATTTCCTGGGAATGCTGGGTTTGCCTTGGGAAGCTTTTTGTGTTTCCCCACATGCACTTCCCAATCCTGACCTGGGGCAGGAGGCCAGTGTTGTGTGCCAGAGGGGAGGGCAAAGCATATTCCCAAGCACTTTTCCCAGCTCCAAGCCCTTTGGGTTCCTCTGGGTGGTGGTGAGGGGTCGGGAGAAGCTTTTTTTGGGTGGTTAAGCCAAGCTCTGGGATGGGCTCTGTGTGATAAACTGCAAACCCTGAAACCTGTGTGCACCACGGGGCAGTTTCCTCCCCCTGCAGCGTGTCCTGAGGGAGGGAAAGCTCTTCCCTTCCCAGCTCTGATCTCATCCAGCCTCTGGATTCCTCCCAGGTTTTACGAGGCTTGGCGTATCTGCGGGAGAAGCACCAGATCATGCACAGAGGTGAGAGGAGAGGAACCTAAAAATAGCTGCTCCTGCAGTGCAGGAGCCCCTGGGGGTGTCACCCCCTTCACTCTGCCCTCCTCCCTGGCATCTCTTCCCAGATGTGAAGCCTTCCAACATCCTGGTGAATTCCCGAGGGGAGATCAAGCTGTGTGATTTCGGGGTCAGCGGGCAGCTCATCGACTCCATGGCCAACTCCTTTGTGGGAACTCGGTCCTACATGTCTGTAAGTTCCTCCCAGATGGGTTTTTTTGGGGGGCATTTGGGTTCAACAACACAGAACCGGGGTGGGGATGGTTTGCTCGTGGCTTTGCTCTGAGTTTCCACCCCCTGCTTTGTTTTGGGGTGAGCCTTTGGAAGTGGGAGAAGCAGAGACCTCCTCATCCTCTCAAGGACTTGGTGGCCTCTCAGCTCCAGCCTGTGCTCCCCAAGCACGTGGAGATGCACAGGGAAAGACATTTCAGATCCTCCAAATTCCAGGCATGGGGCAGCCACAGCTTCTCTGGGAAATCCATCCCAGTCCCTCCCCACCCTCACAGCCTGGAATTCCTTCCCAGTATCCCATCTATCCCTGCCCTCTGGCAGTGGGAAGCCATTCCCTGTGTCCTGTCCCTCCCTGTTTTATTTTAGTGCGTTTTTGGGGGGTTCAAAAAAATCCCCTTCTGCGTGCAAAGCTCTGTACAAAAACTGGTGCTGATCCACCCACCTCCTCTGGGGGTAAACAGGGGTAAAACCACTTCAGTGCAGCTGGGATTTGGTGCAGGCTACTGGGAAATTAAAGCCAAACTGGAGCCAGCCAGTGAGAGTGAATCCAGAATGGATTGTGCTGGAAGGGACCTTAAAGCCCATCCAGTCCCATCCCCTGCCATGGGCAGGAACACCTCCCACTGGAGCAGGTTGTTCCAAGCCCTGTCCAGCTGAAGAATTCCTATGAGAGAGCACCTGCAAGAACAAAACTGGTGCCCAAAATTCAGGGGGTGGGTGGGGATGTCGGGGCAGGCCCCACACTGCACTCGAGCGCTCAGGTCTGAGCTGCTCTCGTATTTTGGGAATGGTTAGTCAAGTCCAGTTATAGTTAGACTGGGGGCTATTTAAAAATAAGATCCCCTTTGCACCCAGGCACTGGCTCCAAGCTGCCTCGGAGCTGCCAGTGGGGATGACTTGCAGGGATGGATTTATTTTTAATTTTTTTTTTTCCTCTCTCAACTGTAAGAGCCTCGTGTGGACTTTTTGCCCCTGGATGTGAAACAGGGATGAGCAGGAAAATAAAACTTTTGTTAATCAGCTAGATTTCAGCACACAGAAAGATTCCTGCTGTGTGTTCCACGTTCCCAAACATCAGCAGCTGTAAATGCTGCTGAGCTGGAGCTGTGGATGAGGTGCTACAAGTGCTTTATGTCTGCACATGATGCTTCTTTTCCATCCTCTTTGCCCATGACCCTTTTGGGACCGCCCTTTCCCTGGAAGGGTGGAGACTTGGAATGGAGAGACCATTGGGATATCACAGAATCAAGGAGTGGGTTGGGTTGGAAGGGACTTTAAAGCCCATCCAGTCCCACCCCCTGCTGTGGGCAGAGACACCTCCCACTATCCTGGGTTGCTCCAACCCGGCCTTGGACACTTCCAGGGATGGGGCAGCCACAGCTTCTCTGGGAATTCCATCCCAGCCCCTCCCCACCCTCACAGCCAGAAATTCCTTCCCAATATCCCATCTATCCCTGCCCTCTGGCACTGGGAAGCCATTCCCCCTTGTCCTGTCCCTCCATCCCTTGTCCCAAATCCCTCTCCAGCTCTCCTGGAGCCCCTTTAGGCCCTGGAGTATGAGTCTCATCCATTTAATTCCAGCACAGGATATTTATGACCCTGGGTGCTGATATTCCAAGTCAGTGGATATTCCTGTGCTCTCTGTGTGTCAATATTCCATGGCAGTGGATGTTCCTCTGTCAATATTCCATGGCAGTGGATGTTCCTCTGTCAATATTCCATGGCAGTGGATGTCCCTGTGCTCTCTGTGTCAATATTCCATGTCAGAGGATATTCCTGTGCTCTGTGTGTTGATATTCCAAGTCAGTGGATGTTCCTGTGCTCTCTGTGTGTCTGTTCCATGGCAGTGGATGTCCCTGTGCTCTGTGCATGTGACTATTCCAAATCAATGGATCTTCCTCCATCAACATTCCCAGTCCTTTGATGTTGTTGTGCTCTCTCTGTCGATATTCCATGTCAGTGGATATTCCTGTGCTCTGTCTGTGACTATTCCATGTCAGTGGATGTCCCCATGCTCTGTGTGACTGTTCCATGTCAGTGGCTGTTCCCATGCTCTGTGTATGACCATCCCAAGCCCGTGGCCGTTCCTCCCTCAGCATTCCCAGCCCGCTGCCATTCCCGTGCTCTGTGTGTTGATATTCCATGTCAGTGGATGTTCCTGTGCTCTGTGTGA